GCTTTACACAATTGATGTATGTATGGATTGTGATAAGAGTTGTATGAGCCCTTAATAAAACGATTAAAATAAAAAATTGTTTAAATATAAAAAAAGATACCCTGGAGGCAATTGAACAATTTTTGATATTTATTACATTCCATACCAACAGAATAAAAGGTGGTTCAGTGATAAAAATAAATGGATTCTGATACAATGCTACAACATGGCTGGACCTTGAAAACATTGTGCCAAATGAGAGAAGTACATCACAAAGGGCACCTGTGACATATCCAGCGCAGGCAAGCGCAGAGACAGAGAGTAGATCAGAGGCTGAGGAGCGGGGAGAAGAGGTATGACTGCCAGCAGGGATGTAGGCTCATGGGAGGTTAACAAAAATGTTCTAACATTAGACATCGATAATGATTGTATAACTCTGGGTGTACACTAAAAACTATTGAATCATGTACTTTTAAAATATGAATCTTATGACAAGTGAATTATATCTCAATTTAAAAGAGAGAGAGAGAGATGCGGAAAATATCCACTAAGCATAGTATACATCCAAATTCAAATGCACTGCCATTATGTGGATTTCAACTCATAGTGACCTATAGTAGGACAGAGTAGAACTGCTCCATAGGGTTTCTGAGACAGGAGCTGATAGCCTCATCTTTCTTCCACAGAGCAGCTGGTGGGTTCAAACCAATGACTTCGTGGTTAGCAGCCTAATGTTTAACCCACTGTGCCATAAGTGCGTCTAAACATGATATATAACCTCCATGGGAGGAGGGGAACCCACTGCCACTGATTTGATTCTGACTCATAATGATCCTATACAGGATTTCAAGATTGTGCATCTTTATGAGAACAGGTAGCCACTTTTTCTCCTGCAAAGTAGCTGGTGGGATTGAACCACCAACCTTGTGGTTAGCAGCTCAATGCCTGACCCACAATGCTACCGGGGGTCCCTATAGTTGCTGTACAATCAATTATCTCATAAATGCATATAACATATGTAAAGAAAAATATCAGAAGGAAATAAAACAAAATGTTCGTGTTTTGTATTACAGTGCATGCCATTCCTACATGCCAACGGTGGAATTGGCAGGTGTCTCAGGCCAAGCAAGGGTTGGACCCAGGGTTGGTAGCCCAAAAGAATGCTGAATTTTCGCTGCATGTGAGTGAAAATGCAGAAAATAATGCTGAACTTAAGGGTTTCGATATAGATGCTCTGATCATTAAATACATCCATGGGTACGAAACCCCCAAGATGCCACCACTGGACTTACAGATTGTCAGGTCAACAGATACAAAAGCTTCCCCTGCCACACTGAAGTGTTCCTGACTGAAAAGGACACCTTGTTCCTAAACCAGAAGAGTGGCTGCACAGAAGAAAACGGTCTCCTAGGAGAAAGTGAAGAAGCAAAATGTACGGCTTGAGAGTAAATGAAGCTTAAAATAAAAGCTAACCTGAAGTTTTAAAAAAATCCAATAAAGAGTTGTTTGAGAAATGCACTAACCATATTAAGTAAGAGAGTATAATAATGCGTCAGAATAAGTGTATAACACAGAATAGGCATCCCAGAGAGAGACTCACAGATACTTGGAAAGAGAAGCAGCAGCATTACAAATACCGACACACTAATTACCCTTTGGAAAAAAGTAAAAGTAGGTCACTAGAAAGCTGTTTTGATAAAAAAAAAATTTCATGCCACAATCACCTCTTAGATCAACCAAAACCAAGCCCACTGCTATTGAATTGATTCTGACTCACAGAAACCCTATAGGTCAGAGTTTTCAAGACTAACTCTTCACAGGGACAGACAGTCTCATCTTTTTCCCATGCAGTGGTTGGTAGGTTTGAACCAACCTTTTAGTTAGCAGCCTAACACTTAACCCACTGAACCACCAAGGCTCTTTCTAGAGATCTGCCTACATTTAAAGACATACCTCCATCCTTCTTTTTAGCTTCTCCTTGGGAGACAAGCAGTTTTAAGGACTGATGACTGGTAACACTAATTTTACAATTTCCTTGCCAAATAAATAGGTACCTCCAAAGTGCTTTAACAAAAGTTCTTGAATAATCTCATATGCCTTGAAATGTGTTCATGGCATAGCAAACTCTCTAAGCTATAATTACCTACAAGTAGCTAACGGTACATGTCTAGCCAACCGCTGCCTGAATTACCAAATTTAAGTTAGTGGCAGAAATCATAAGGTCTCTTATGCATCACTGTATATGCCAACAAAACGCAAGTGCTGTCCTAACACTAGCTGCAAAAGCTAACAAAAATAAGCTCACGGCTTCAAAAGCAGCCCAAGGTTAGTGCCCAAGTACCCTGCCCCATTTGGGCACCCAAGTTCTATACCTACCCGAGTGTGACCTGTAATTCTGGTACAGCTGGTAGATCATCTTGGGTTTCCGGACAGCACACTGCTTATCTGTGCTGTTTCTGCTGGCGTAGTGGAATAGGCAGCACAGATCACTGAAGCGGAAGGCCACACCCTGCATGATGCCCTGGGCTGTGTCCCCAGTGAGGAACATGGCATTGGGGTCATTAATGCATTTCATCAGTAGTGCCAGCTCCGCTTGGGTGAAGTCCTGAATCTCATCACCGTAGAACTCATGAAAGGACCACGGAAGCCCACTGAGTTTCGACAGCCTCTGAGACAGGTTGTACAGAAAATCCTCTTCATCAAAATAACCTTTCTGGGACCTGATCTGCTGATAGAGGCAGAAGAGATTATAGATCTCGCTCCTATCTTCCTTAAAATTGAGGGACCGCTTTCTCCCTAGTTTCTTATATGCTTCTTCAGTGAGTCTTCCATGGGGACTGCTGAGAGCCTCAAAAGAACCTTTCAGAAAAGATTTTATTTCTTTCCAAATCAGTGCGGCGTTGTAGGAAGTTTTGCCTTTGGTCATCTTGGGCCATATTTCATTGACGAACACCTCAAATGTCACAAAAACCCGGGGGTCGCTGTCATCTTTGCGAGCTTCTGCAGCTTTATCCTCTTCACCATCGTCTCCGTCCAGGTCTGTCTCATCCTCATCCTCTTGCCAGTTGGGGATGGTCCAGTCTTCCTGCATGGACCACCCTACGATGGTTCTTTTCAAGCTGCCATCTTCATTTCTCAGGAAAAACGGGTTGGGTAGAGAAGCGTCAAGCAGCAGGAGCAGCTGCTTGGAAGTGACAAACAGAGGAAAGTTCTCATCCGTGAGGTCCTGGAGTTTGTGAACATTGGGCCCCATGGGTCTGTAGTGACTCGTGGCCTTGGTAGACTTGGAGAGCTCGATGAAATTCTTTTGTACCTCCTGGCACAGGACGTGGTTCTTGGTCACGAAGATCTGACGGAGATGCTCCAGCTGCTGGGGATGAGTTGGCCCATGGGCCGCCTCTGCTGGGTGGTCTGTCACCTGCTTCACGGCAGGCCCCATTGCACCAGCGACACGCTGTGGCTCCTCCACTGGGTTGGGTGCTGTTGCTACTTTAATTGAACTTTCCCCTGCCTCAGCCTCCCTCTTTCTCTCTCCTTCCTCTCTCCCTAGACCCTTTTCTCCAGATTCCACTTCCAATCTTTTCCACCAGACCGGTTTGGCCAGCAGGGGGCTCCCTGCCTGCTTGGCTTTCTCCCAGTAACTGTGGAATTTCTTCCACATCCTGTACAGGCAGCAGGTCGTCTTCCCGGTGCCGCTCCGCCCAATGAGGATGATGGGTTCCAGCGGCTTGGGATTGAGGTCAATCACTGCATACTCGAGCTCGCCCACGCGGAAAGGGTACTCCACCGTGGTCGCCATGTCGTTGAGGATGTTGAAGGCCATGTTGGTGCTGAAGCTGTGGAACTTCATGATGTTGTACTCTGTCTCCACTGCACTGGCAGGGGGGAAATACTCGATATCCACACAGTCCCTGCCCTTCTCTGCCTCTGTGTCCTCCACATAGCAACGGGGTATCCGTTTCTGAATTTTCATGTTGGAAAACCCCTGACCCTTGCTGATCCCCTTCAACTTCTTCCGCAGAACGCAGGACATACCTCGGTTGTAGGCACTGCAGATGGCCCTGATGGAGTCTGACAGTTTGCAGTGATCTAAGACAATGTCCCAGATGCGGATAATTTCCGTATAGACCCGCCCCGACTTCTCCGTGGGGTGTGCATTCTGCCCCTTGGCCATGATCTTCTCAGGGTTCTCGCTGCATCGAGGGGAGAAGTCAATAGCGAGCTCCCATAGCATCCGAGCTCCTTTATCCAGCTTCGCTTCAAAGAGCTGGATGTTCCCTTTCAGGTGCTTCAGTCGCTTCTGCAGGCCCTGGGTCCACTCGCCATTCCCCAGCTGCTGGATGGCAAAGATGGCTTTCTTCTTTATGACCTTGGTCATTGCCTTACTTGAGAATTTCTTCAGCATCTCAGATGTGCACTCGATCTCCCACGTCATGTTATCAAAGTCCTGGAAGCAAAGCTCGACATCCTGCATGCTCCAGTCCTCCCCATCCTCAGAGTTCATCCTCCTGTTGACAACAGGAACGAGCTGCCTGGCCCTGACGCCTGCCTGAGCGTGGCCTTCCGCTGCCTCAGGAAAGGGATTATTGCCTCCACTACAGTCAGAGTTTGCCACAGCTAGGCTTTGCTGGAGCTCCTCTTTCTTGGCTTCTGCGCCTGCTGTCACCAGAGGCTCCGCACACGGAGGGCAGGCTTCTGGGGGGGCCTCAGCCAATGCAACTTGCTGAATCAAAACTGTGATGTCCTGTATGAGATGGTCTCTCAGAGAGCCTGACCTGGTGACTTTAGGCTCCTGCTTCTTCAGCTGGGCACGAGGGGCCATTTCCCAGCTCTCCGGGACCCCAGCTTTTTCCAGCAGGGCCTCAGAAGTGACGACACATGGCAGTGACTTGAATGAACCTTGAGACTTGAGCTGAGACACATGGCCAGGGGTGGCAGACCTCAGGAGCTTCCCCATGTGGGCAGCAGAGTCCTGTCGGCTCCTCCGCCTGCTGTCCATCAGAGCTTTGTTCCACGTCAAGAGCAAAGGATCATTCTTCTTGACCCGGTGCCGTGCGTCTTTGCCCTCTTTGTTCTTCAAATTGAGATTGATGTCAAACTTCACCAGCAGGTCTATGAGCTTCTTCATGCGCCTCAGCATGCCCTTCTGAAACAGAATGTGCATCAACGTGTTCCCATTGCTATCTTGGATGTTCGGGTTGAGGTAGCAAAATTCAGTGGGGTTGGACCAGAAGAGGCCCAGCAGATGGCTGAGGAAGCTAAAGCCAATGTCAGCTGAAAGACAAAAACCAGACCTTGTGAGTACTGAGCTGCTCTTCTTTGGGGAGAGAAGTCCCCTAGGCTTGAGAAATGCCAGTTGGGGTATCTCAAAACATGGAATGACCTCAGGCATTGAATACTCATTAAATAACCCAGTGCTTTTCATCCAAGGGCAATGGTTACACCCCTCGCCCTCACCCCACAGAGCTTGGCAACATCTGGAGACATTTTGTATTGTCCCAGTGAGGGGAAGGCTACCAGTGTCTAGTGGGTAGAGGCCGGGGATGCTGTTAAGCATGCTACAGCACCACACTGCACAACGAAGAATTATCCAGCCCAAAATATCAACAATGCCAACCCTGAAATAACCTTTCAACATCCCAGCAAGAACCTCATCATAATGGTCACTTCCTCCCATTAAGTTATGTGTGAGAGGTCAGGACAGGCTGGACTCAAGAAACAAAGCTTTTACAGATCACTGGTTTCCCCTTTCCCAAAAGGAAATACATACCCAAAACACAGCATCATTTACAAAACCCAGCTTGATCATCAAGGAACAGACTACCATGTTTATCTACTGACTTACCATGTATATCTAGAAAGATGTGGAGTGCCGCGTGTAAAGGAGTATCACCTTCCATGAGAGAAATGCCATGGGGGTCTGCACCCTTAGTCAAGAGAAGAAAAGCCAACTCGAAGTCCTCGTGTTTCAGGGATAGGACAAGGGGGCTCACTTGGCTATCCTGGAGACCCTCAAGCAAAGCTGAGGAAGGCAGAAGAGAAGACGGTATCAGGCACTTCCCTGTGAAGGACAGCCTAGGAGGTAGGAGGGACCACATCTGCCATTTAGTTTAAGGGAAGAGCTGATGCTGACTGAATCCCAAGCCACCAACCCTGTTGGAAGGAAAATGTGCTCAAGTACCCTCAGGGGGAAAGCCCAGCTCCTGTAAGCCTCCTGTTCACGGACCTGGACCCTCCCAACTCTCTAGCTGCCCCTCTTTTCCCAACACAAAGAACACAGTTCCCACCACTAACATTCCCCTAAAAGAATATTGCCCAAAGTGCGTGACACAATCCAAGAGGACCCGCTAAAGCAGATGCCTACACTTTATTCTGGATTATTAACTATAGTACAAAGGTGTTTAATTTATTGGGTGGGGGGGAGCTGAGTAATTTTCTTTTTTATTCTAAAAATAAGTTTGGTGACCTATGCCTTAGATTAATAAGATAGGGAACCGTTGAAATTCCAATGCTTGCCTCCAACGCTACTCAACACAGAGTTGGTCATAGGATTATGAGTGGTACTCCCTCTGTTCTGTGCTACTACTCACTTCTGTCCTAAAATGTATGTCTGGCCTCAGCTGCCATCCTCCCTGACACCTCTGCACCCCCCACCCCACCCCCACCTTTTAAGTTCAGTTCATGAATCCTTCTATGGTGCATGCTCCCCACCTGGCCTCGGTCATGAGGCAGCCTTACTCACTGCCAGATCGGCAGCCTACTACACAGACCCTCAGCAGCCACGTGCTCACCTCTGAGACTGGGTTCCTAGTACCACCCCAAAAGAGTTATGCTGGATCACAGCATGAAATAGGGATTCCACAAGGGGCCTGATTTCCAAGCAAAAGCAATGATTATACTCCATGTTAAGAATGTGTTTGAAGAGCTAAATGGCAGAAGGCCTCTCTACCTCCTGAAAGCTTTGGGTGGAGCCAATGCCTGCAGGCCATACATTACAGTGCTTTGAGAGATGAGGCCCAACAGGCTGTCAGTCCTGAAGGGCATTGTCCCTTAAATGGGTAAGCCCAGGCACTCATCCAAGAGCTTGCACATGGTAACTTGTTAATACTCAGAGAGAGTAGACAAAAGAAACCATTCTCATTCCCATTTTATAAACAAGGAGACAAAGGTATAAATAGCAAGCCCAAAGCCATATAGTTAGCAGTGGTTTTAGTTGGGGTGGTGGCAGGAGAAGGTTGGTGTTTCTAAATTAGTTTTAAAACAAAACCCAGTTCACACTATAGTCTGCACACTCCAGACGCAAAACCAGCCGTGCGTGATCATCCTGATGAAAACAGCAGATGTTTCCACCCACCAATTATTTGGTTGTTTCTTTAAAAACAGCCTCTCAAATCCCAATCCACTGATTAGGAAAGAAGGCCTCAAAAGAGACAAGGACACACACCATGCAACAAGTGCAAGGGAGCCATCTAGGCCAAGGTCAGGAGGAAGTTGACCTCCGTGGGGACTCAGCCAGAGCAGGGGGCCTTCCACGTACCTGACGGCTCTCACACAACAGAGAAAGCGAGGACAGCAGTAACAACGGGAATTCACCGAAAGGCAATGTTCCTACTAAAAAACAAACCATCCTGTTGCTGTCAAGTTGATTTGACTCACGGCAACCCACGTGGCAGAAAACAACTGGGCCACGGGGTTTTCTTGCGTGCAATCAGCGGGCCTCTCTTCCTGCTGGGTGGTTTGAGCTTAGTGGGTGAGTGTAAACTATCTGCAGTACTCTTCAACCCTCAACACTTCCTAATGGGGCTGTAATCACCTTTCACTGTCTCAAAAAAAGAGGCTACCGGGGAAGAATAAGGCAGAATTTTAAAGGGTCTCCAAAAGTCAAGGGGACAGACCCCAGGAAAAGCAGTGCCTTGGCTCCTCCCCGTGTAAACAGTATTCCCCCGACCATTATGTAGGCATGTTCACCTCCGCTGTCTATGAGGCAGCCCAGGAGCTGCGTCTTCCGCTGGTCCCAGCTGCTGAGGTGTGGGATGATGGCACAGATGTCAAGTTCCGAGAAATTGCAGTCTTTGATGAAACCGTCTCCATCGGGTGGCTCCCCACTCACTTTGCGTGTCAACAAAAGAAGGACTTCCGGCCACTTTTGTTTTTCCAGTAAGAACTTGATGAAGATGTTGGCACAGTCACGATTAATGTCACAGACCAGGTCAGGAGGAATTTCTTTGAAAATGAAGCATGGAAGAAGACACATCAAAAAAAGGCTCATGATTTCTATCCAGCCCCCAACATCCACGTATGGAAGCAACACAGGTTTCAGACCAGGAGTTTCAAGTGCTAGCGGAGCTATAAGCAAGTAATTAATTACTTTCGGCAAGTCATAGGGCAAACACCAGCCTTAGAGGCTCAGAAGTATTGCATGAAGTAGAGAAGTTGGCTCCAGAGGCTAATGACTCAACGCTGATTGTGTTTTAAGGTGGACTATTTGAGTTGAGAGCATTCAACTAAACTCAGAAGGGAAACATCTGACTTACATTTTACATAGTGTCAAGAGTGTGCCCTACTTAGTGAAATACTGGAAGATTCTAGAGAGAAATTACAAAGTCAAGAGCTGTCAGGTAATGATGAAAAGATGGCTTACCCCTGACTCTTAATTTTGTATTATGATACGTTAAGTACTTCCATATGACTCCTGATATCTAGAGACAGGATAATGGTTGTCATAGTTCATGCCGTTGTTATGAATTATGGGTTGAAAATTTTAACTAGGCATATCAGGCTGTCGCCTGCAAGCAGTGTGTATATTGCCAAATTGCTGTCCACGGCCATCCCTAACTCCTTAACAACAGGCGGAAACCTACTGTAATAGAAAGGGTTTGTTTGGCTTTTTCATTTATATAAAGTCCCTACAGCTATTTCTCAGTATTGGCAGCCTTAGATTTTTGCTAGTTCAAGATTGTACTTTTTAAATACTCTGAGCACTAAATCGTATTTAGTGATGATTATGCAACAGGACCCCCACGGGTTGTCATCGACTCCATGGCAGTGAGTTTGGTACAACTCCTCATAGTCATAGTTAGGATCTTTCTTGGGAGAAATTCTTTAACACCTACTATCGATAC